CTTCCTCCTTCTCTCGGGGGGGCCCGCGCGCGGCGCGATGGGCGCGGATGCGTCCGGCTGGCCAGAGCCGTGCCGAGCGAGTTTGGACAGCAGTGCTTGCGGCGGCTCCCGAGGGGTTGCGATTTGCTTCGTCGCGAAGGCCTCGAGGTGCAGGGCAGGGTGGCCCCGCTCGTCGACCTGAGCCATGGGGGACCTGGCCGCCGCCCTCGGCTAGGAGGTCGCGGAGGGCGGAGCGCATCCCGCGGACCATGAGGGCGCTGTGTAGGTGCTGCTGGTCGTGGGGCTGATACAGTGGGGTGGGTGCTGAACTCCTCATGCGCGCTGTGATCTTCCTCCCCCTCCTCCTCCCCCTCCTTCTCGTGGCCATCTCGGCACAGGCTACCTTGGCCCAAGCGGACAGCAAACAGCAGCGACCCAGGCGGCCGAGCCCCGCACTTCGCGAGACAAATACATCGATGGCCGAAGGTGCTGAGCCGGAGAGGTTGCAGTGCTTCGGTCGCAGGAAGGCGGTCGTGGCGGTGGCGCCGGTGCGCGCGGCGAGGGAGGGCGCCAAGGGCGGCCAGGTCCGCATCCACGGCTGCCCCATCACCACGGTGAAGCCCGCCGTCCTGCGCGCGAAGGTCGGTGCCGAGGGCCCCTGCGTGTGAGTTTCGTTCCGCAGCTGTCCCGTGCCGAGCTTATCACATGCTCGTTGCATTCGCCCCCGCTCGTGTGCTGGCTCGTTGCTTGGTCCGTCCTCGTCCCTCAGCTTCCCCACCCCTCCCTCGGAAAACTGGCCCCGTGAGCGGAGATTTCGGCGCGCTGGTGCCTGCGAGCCGCTGCTGCTCCTCGGGGCCGACGGGTGGAGGCGGGTCGGCGTCCGCTTGCGCTTGACGGGCGGCGGCTTCGCCCCACGGACCGACGCGCTCCAGCAGGCCATCGCCGAGGGCGCCATGGCCTATTGCTAGGTCGGGCCTGTCCCTCTTCAGGAGGAATCTGCAGACATTGTCAGACATAGTCTAGGGACGATGTTTCTACTACTTTTGACCGTTTGGGAGTACCTGTTTGGCTATTCTCAATTTTTCCCCACATGTTTCGTGGGGTTCTGGTTTTCTTCCCTCCGGCGTCGCACCCGCGTCTTCTTCCTCTCACCTCCCTTCCCCCTCCTCCTCCTCCTCCTCCTCCTCCTCCTCCTCCTCCTCCTCCTCCTCCTCCTCCTCCTCCCCTTCCCCATCCTTCCTCCCTCATCCTCAGCAGAGTCCGTAGCCATGTTGGCTCAAGCCATTTTGGCTCACCGCCGTTTGTGGAACTCCCCACGCGCGAGGTGGCGACCAGACGCCCACCGCAGACCTCACAGGTGGCTGCCCAGCCAGAGGTCCTGCATCCTTTTTCCGGGCGTGTGCACACGCTCTCTTCCAGTCTGCGTATTGTTGCGGCGGCAGTACGCACCACCAGCATTCTTTCGTTTCTCCCGCAGTTGCTGCCATGGCGGGCGGCGGCGCGCCCTCCGCGGTCGTGCCCTTCTCCGTGTGCGGCTGCAGGAAGAACACGCCGTGGTTCCAGTGGTGCAAGGCGCGCCACAGCCCTCTTCCTCCGCTCCTTGGCAAATGTCGTCTTCGTGCTGGTGGGGATGGCGTTCAGAGGGAGGGTGGAGGCAAACGTCGTCGAGGTGCCGATGGCGGCAAGGGTGCTGGGAAGGGGTACGGCCATCGTGTTCCGCCCCGCCTTCCAGCAATCATCAAGACTACCTGGATGCTCTCGCCAAGCACTTCCAGGGCGTGGACGACATCCCAGGTGCTGACGCTATCCTGCAGGCCTTGTCGGCGTCTTTTGCTGCACTCAAGCAAGCAGCATTGGACACGCAGAACGTTGGCGTTCAGGCCTCTGCAGTTCAGAAGCAATTGTTATCTAAAGAGAAGGAGTTCACTCACATCACTGAGAGTATCGAGCACCATCGGAAGCGTGGAGAAGAACTACGTACCAAGTCAGTTCAGGTTAGTGTCGAGATTGAGCAGGTTCGAGTTCGTTATCGTGACCTCTCGGCCAAGGTTGTGCCTCCTGAGGATTTTGAAGTTGCTGAAGTCGACATCACGAAGTTCAAAGACATTTTCACCGCGATGGACACCTTCCTCAAGGAGGCGGCCCCTGCGGCCGGGCAGCATGACCTGTCCGGCCTCAAGGGTAAGATGCAAGCTACGCGCAACGCCCTTCAGCCGGGCAAGGAGCACCTCGCCAAATCTGAGGAGGTGCGCAGGCTTCGAGGGCCTCTTCTGCAGGCGCCCCCGCCATCAAGTCGGACGAGGACCTCTACAACGTCCTCGGCGGCCCCTCGGCGTCGGCAGACGACAAGAAGAGGAGGCTCGAGATGTCGGGGGCTGTTTCCAGCAGGTTTCGGACCTAGTATACTACCAGCCTGTAGGGAGGGGGCTTCATGTCCTCCCACAAGGCGGTTGGAGGCCCATGTGCAAGTCGGTCCAGCTGCTGTGCCGCATCGTTCTGAGGCATAGGATCGCTCTGCTCCAACCAGCCCAATGTCATCCCCTCCTCCTCCTTCGATGTCCTTGACAATGAGTTTGGATTCATTTTGGAGACATTCAACGGTTCGGGGCGGGGGGCGGCTCGTAAGCGACTGGAACAAACTAGAGCTCACATCGCGTGCGTTCAGGAGCACAAGCTTCGCAGTTGTGAAGAGGTCAATCAAACCAGTGCCTGGGGGATCCGTCATGGTTGGAAGATCCTTTGGGGGCCTGGATGTTCTGGGGACGGAGAAGGTGTTTCTGCTGGCGTTGCGGTGGCAGTCCGTGCAGTTTTGCGGCATCCGCCCCTTCCTGGATGTCTCTCAGGTATCCTCTCGCAGGCGCGTGGCTGGAGTCGTGCAGCGGCTCGGACAGCCGCCGTTCCTTGTCGCCAGCATCTACTTGCACGATTGCGAGCAGATGAACGATGCCAATATTTCTGTCCTCTCCGATGCGATGTCGTTTGTGGGCCATGCTGGCTGACCGTTCGTCTTTGGGGGGGCTTCAACATGGTCCCCGGGGTTCTCTTGGGTCGTGGGATCCCAGAGCGCCTGCGAGGTTCTTTAGTTGTTGCCCCAGGTGGTCGCGGGCCCCTAACTGGCCCCCCAGGGGACCAAGCATTCTGATTATTTCTTGGTGTCTGGAGGCGTGAGTCAGTGCGTCAAGGACGTGGCCCTGGTCTAGGGGGCCGCGACGTTTCCGCGCGTTCCTGTTCGCTTGGAGTTCCTCAAGTCTCTCAGCACTTTTCAGGCCCTCAGGTTCCGCTAGCCTCCGAGGATTCCTGCCGGCCCCGCCATGGGCCCCGTCATCGAGCCGCCCGACTGGACCCGCGCTCTGTAGATTCTGGATTTCTTTTTGGAGCATGCGGGGTCTGGGAGGCTTGAGGAGGCTTCTTGTCAACTCGACCCAGTCTCCGATCGCAGTTTATGGCGCCCGCGGTCGCAGGCCTAGGTGTGAGCGGTGCGACCCGCTCGCCGTGGACGCCAGGGCCGCGCCGCCGTCGGCGCAGCAGGCTGTCAATTTCTCTGTCGTGCAGTTGCGAGCTCTTATCGCTCGCCCCGAGGCGGGCGACCCCGATGAGCACCCAGCTTTCCAATCGCTAGCAGGACAGTTCCGTCGTCCTTCTCAGGCTATCCTGGGTCATCTTGGGAAGTGGTCCCATGTGCATGACCAGGCTGTTTTATTCCTGGGGCGCGGGGGGGGGGGGGGGGGGGCTTGGGCGGCCGGGGGCTATCTCTCACTCAGCTCTTGGAGGATTTCGTGGAGACGCTTTCGGAGGCCGTTGCGTGCACTCGGAAGGCGTCTAGGGCTTCTTGGAGGCAGCGGGTCTTCGAGGGCATCGAGAAGGGGGGCAAGCGGGCTCACCTGCGAGCGCGGGGCCCCCAGTCTTGGAAGCCGACCGCCACTTTGAGCTCTGACGGGGCCCTGGTCTCGGTTCTACTCAGCCACCTGAAGGCCGAGGCGCTCAAGTTTGCTGACCTCTGGGGCGCTACCTGCCAGGAGGCTCGGCTTCCTGATCGTTTAGCTCGAGAGGCCATCCTTGGGCCTCTCCCGTTCGCGTCGCCTGTTGAGTTGCGGGACCTCAGCCGCAGCAACTCGCGGGCCGCGGCCGTTTCGGTGGGCGGCTTCCACATGAGGCACGTCGCTCAGCTTAGCGACGGCGCTCTTCTAGCCTTGGGGAAGCCGTTCCAGCTTCGGGAAATGTTGTTGGCGTTTCCGACTCAGCTCATAACTGTCCTCCTGGCTTTATTATCTAAGACCTCTAGAGGCTGCAGGCCCATCGGCCCCTTCGAGGGCACTCGCAGACAATGGGGGCGCGCCCGCCGTCGCTTAGCTGAAGAGTGGGGGGCGGCCTGGCAGAGGCCTTGTTTTCGCCTGCGGCCGCTTCGAGTCTTCTCCCGCTGTAGTTTGGAGGCAGGCTCCAAGGTCAGAAGAGCCGGCTTCGAACCAGGATGTTTCTGCCAGCGTTCTCTGGGATATGTATGAGTTCTATGAACTGTTCGACCTGGAGCTGCTTCTGGACAGATGCAGGCGCGCTGGGTTCTCTTTGCAGGTCTCCCGCCTGTGCGTGTTCGTCTACCAGTGCGCTAGATTTACCTTGATGAACGGCCGTGTCAACGGTCCGTGGCTGGCGATTAAGGGGGTCATCGCAGGGTGCTCGACCGCAACAACATTCGCGCGTATATACCTTGTACTCGACCTGGACAGATTGACGCTGCCAAGATCGGTTACATTCGATGCCTACATCGACGACTGCGCGCTCAAATGTATCGGCAGCATCGAGACAGTCGTTAGAGACCACGCGTCTGCCTCTCGTGCTCTGCATCGCGCCCTCACGCTCGATTGCAAGTGTTCGCTCGGGATCGATCGCAACTCGGGGGCCACGGCTGGCAAGGCTTGCCTCATCTCATCCTCTCCTCGAGTCGCCCATCGGCTTCGCGTGGTCCTCGGAGGCATTGCTGGGATTACTACCAAGGGGGTTGCCAACTTGGGTATCGACGACACTCAAGGGAATCCTCCTTGTTCGTCGGGTCGGGGTTCTACCGCCAAGAAGAGAGCTGCTACGTTTAACCGTCGTGTCAAGCGGCTCACCAAGTTGAAGCCCGAGCTTGGCAAGTGACGTAAGCAGTTTCACAGCTGGGCCTCTGTCTGGCTTATTGCGCGGCGCCGAAGTCCAGGGATGTAGCGACGGGGCGGTTCATCGCATTCGTCGGTCGCTCGGTCGCACCATGCAGCCGTCGGCGGGAGGTCGGTCGCATTCAATTCTGACGGCTTCGGAAAATGATCCAGCATGGCTTTCGGCAGTGGCACCTGTTCCTCGCTGGGGCAAGGAGGCGTGGATCCCCGCTAGCAAGATCGCGACTCTCTCTCGCTGTCATTCGCGGCTTTGCGCTCCGCTTGGAGCACTGCGTTCGGTAAGGACCTGACGTGGATCTTGCGCTGGCCCAGTCGGAGCCATGAAGTTGTCTCTATGCAGGATAGACTGGCAGATGAAGGATCCCTGCATTATGCTCAATGACCTCCAGCAGGAAATTGCGCTGCCAGTCGCGTCGCCTGCTCTACTCAAGAAGCTCCTACGAGGGGGAGTGCTTCGTTCTCCGGAAAGGTCAGCCAGCAACATTGTGGGTGCCCGGTATCGGCTATGCTTCGACGTTGTGGCCTCAGCTACCCGTTCGTCTTAGTTCCATGGGATCCAGAGGGGCTCGACCAAAGCTGCGCCATGCGGGGCTACGTGGACTCGTGACAAGGCCATCAGCTTAGGTTACCAGCGTTGCCCCAAGCGCGAGCTCTGCGGGGTGCCCGACTCGTTGGTCCACAGGCTCTGGAGTTGTAGTTGCGTCGCTGGGCTTAGAGATTCTTTATTGGACCCCTGGTTGTTAGAAGCCTCCAAGGAACCCCGCGTGGACCTCCTGGTGTTTACTCGAGGCCTTTTCCGACACCCAGGGGGGCTGCATCCCCCGCCGCTCTCGGAGACTGGTGAAGGTATTCAATGGCACGGCGACCCCGACCGAAGGGGTGGTGGATTTGCTGGCCGCGTGTTTCTCGACGGTTCGTGCTCCAAGCATCCAGTCCGTGAGCTCTCGAGAGCGGGGTGGGGGATTGTTTTTTTTTTTTTTTTTTTTTGTCAAAATGTAGGTTCCGATCACCCCCCCCCCCCCCGCGCGGTTTCGGCCCCCGTTTGGAGCCCCGCGCCCCAGACGAGTCAGGGAGGGGGATACTCGGCCTTTGGAGTTTGTATATATATATATACGCACACAAGCAGCATCACGCTCCAGGCTGTTATAATCAGATCAATCACCCCAGTGTGACCCCACCTAGAAGTTGGAGCCCCTAGGAAAGCAGCATGGGTTGCTATGATATGCTATGATATGCTGCGCTATGTTATGCTATGACATAGTATGCTTTGTTATGTTGCGCTGTGCTATGCTATGCAAAGAGAAGCTATGATATATCATGCTGTGCTGTGCTATGCTAAGCTGTGCGATGCTATGCTATGTTGCGCTAAACTGCGCTATGATATGCAATGCTATGCTGCGCTATGCTATGTCATGCTATGTTATGCTTGGCTATGTTATGCTATGCTATGCTAGTACAGCGCCGCGCTATGTTAAGCTAATTCTAAGCTAGCTCCCTAGGCAGAGCCTAGATAGGGAATTCCACCCATGATGAAGTTTTTTGCTGTGCTTTGCTTTGCGTTGCTTGTGCTTTGATTTGCTGTCGCTATTGTTGATTTGCCTTTGCTTTGCTGCTATGCTATGCTATGCTATGATATGCTGCGCTGTGCTATGCTGTGCTGCGCCGCGCTGCGCTATGCTATGCTATGATTTGCTATGCTATGCTGCGCTGTGCTATGCTATGCTGGGCTATGCTATGATCTGCTGTGCTGCGCTATGCTATTCTACGCTATGCTATGCTGTGCTCTGCTATGCTAAAGCTTAGCAGAGCTAAGATGAAGGTAAGCTAAGCTAAGATAAACCTGAGCTAAGATGAAATTAAGCTAAGCTAAGATGAAATAAGCTAAGCTAAGATGAGATAGACAACGCTAAGCTAAGGGGACGTAGCTGGGGGAACCGCGGGGCGGATCCTGGGGGAACCGCCCGGAGCGATTTCCATTGCCCGGCCCTTTTAAGATAGCGAGTAAGAGCCCTTCTCGGCAGAGCCTAGGTAGGGAACCATAAACTTGTTTATAGTGGAATGGCGATGCAAGCTCTGTCGCACGCTTCGTTGATTTCTAGCTTGACCAAGGTCAAGGCGCATCGGAGTTTCGATTCCGAGCTGCCTCCTCTCGAGGCTTTCCACCGCTCAGGCAACCGCGCGGCCGACCTGGCGGCGAAGCGTGGCGCTCTCCAGCACCCCGCTGCCTCGCCTGAGGTTCGCGTGATGCTGTGGATCGTGAGGTCCACGTTGCCAAAGCGGTGGCCAAGCTTTCTGCGCGCCTCCTCCCGCTCTGGCCTCGCCTCGAGCTCAAGGGGGCGCCTCTCATCGTCCCGCCGCGTCCTGTCGCCGAGGCCCGATCGGGCCATTCCCGGCCGTGGGCGGGGGCTCTCTGGCAATGTACTCAATGTCTTCGAAGGAGGCGATCTGCGGCGGAACCGCCTCCCGGTGTCTGTTTTCACCGCTGCCGCTTGAACGTTGCCCAGCTTGCGGCACTCGGCCACTCGCGCTGGGTCGTGGGCTGCAGCGACGAATCTTTCGTTTGCTTTTGTCAGGTGTGCAAAAGCTACACCTCTGGTCTCAGGCTCGCCCGCTTGGCCAGCCGATGTACTGGCCCTCCCGCCAACAGGGATGGCACGCCCAGGACACCTGATGCTTGGGCTAAGCTTTTGAGAGGCCGCCTCCCGAAGCGGCCGAGGGTGACCATCCTGTCCAGCACGATGGCTGCGCTGTGCCCGTGAGCTCGCGGGTGGGCCGTCGGCCTTTTGGGTCGATGGCCCCCCTCTCTTTGCGCGCGGGAGCGCGTGGCCCCGTGGCTGGCGCCGTCGCCCACTCTCTGCTCCAGGATTTCGCACGTGCGACTCTGGAGTGGGAGCCCCTCGCGCCCTGCCGCCCAGCCCGGCGGACTGGTGGTGGCGCCTGTTGCGGTGCATGTCAAAGAAAACACCCTCAGCACAGCGCAGCTTCCCCCCTCACCCTCAGCACAGCACAGCACAGCACAGCACACACATACACATAGACACATACACACATACACACATACACATACACACGCACAGCGTAGACAGCACACACATACACATACACACACATACACATACACACATACAAGCACACACAGCACACCTCACACACACAGCATAGCACAGCACAGCACAGCACAGCACAGCACATCACAGCACAGCACAGCACAGCACAGTACACCGCAGCACAGCACAGCACAGGCGTGGCACGGTCAGCGCGGCGTCTATGCGGGCCACGGCGCAGGGCATAGCAGACGTGGCACCTTCTCGACACCATAGGGGGTGCGCAGGGGTTGGTCCCCAAGCGCGGCGTCTATGCTGGCCATGGCGCATGGCATAGCAGGCGCGGCACCTTCTCGACACCATAGGGGGTGCGCAGGAGGTGGTCCCCGAGCGCGGCGCCTATGCGGGCCATGGCGCAGGGCATAGCAGGCGCGGCACTTTCTCGACACCATAGGGGGTGCGCAGTGGGTGGTCTCTCACCGCGGCCGCTATGCACGACGGTCGTCTAGGCGCAGCAGGCGTGGCTCTTTCTCGACACCACTGGGGGTGCGCAGAGGGTGGTCCCTCAGCGCGGCCTTTATCCGTGACGCGCTCGCTGACCGTGGCAGGAGAAGCACTTTCTGGACGCCACATGGGGGTGCGCAGAGGGTGGTCCCTCAGCGCGGCCTCTATCCGCCACACGCTCGCAGAGCGTGGCAGGCGCGGCATCTTCTCGACACCACATGGGGGTGCGCAGAGGGTGGTCCCTCAGTGCGGCGTCTATCCGAGACACGCCCGCAGATCGTGGCAGGCGAAGCACTTTCTCGACACCGCTGGGGGGGGCGCAGCGGGTGGTCCCTCAGTGCGACCTCTATCCGCGACACGCTCGCAGAGCGTGGCAGGCGCGGCATTTTCTCGACACCGCATGGGGGGCGCAGGGGGTGGACCCCCAGCGCGGCCTCTATCCGTGACAGGTTCGCAGGGCATGGCAGGAGAGGCAATTTCTGGACACCGCATGTGGGTGCGCAGAGGGTGGTTCCTCAGCGCGGCCTCTATCCGTGACGCGCTCGCAGATCGTGGCAGGCGTGGCATTTTCTCGATACCATAAGGGGGTTCGCAGTGGGTGGTCTCTCACAGCGGCCGCTGTGCACGACGGTCGTCTAGGCGCAGCAGGCGTGGCTCTTTCTCGACGCCACTGGGGGTGCGCAGAGGGTGGTCCCTCAGCGCGGCCTCTATCCGTGACGCGCTCGCAGATCGTGGCAGGAGAAGCACTTTCTGGACGCCACGCGGGGGCGCGCAGAGGGTGGTCCCTCAGCGCGGCCTCTATCCGTGACACGCTCGCAGAGCGCGGCAAGCGCGGCACTTTCTCGACGCCGCTGGGGGGGCGCAGCGGGTGGCCCCTCAGCGGGGCCTGTATCCGAGACGCGCTCGCAGAGCGTGGCAGGCGCGGCATTTTATCGACATCGCTGGGGGGGTGCAGGGGGTGGACCCCCAACTCGGCCTCTATCCGTGACACGTTCGCAGGGCATGGCAGGCGCGGCATCTGGACATCGCATGGGGGTGCGCAGAGGGCGGTCCCTCAGCGCGGCCTCTATCCGTGACGCGCTCGCAAATCGTCGCAGGAGTGGCACTTTCTCGACGCCACAGGGGGTGCGCAGAGGGTGGTCCCTCAGCGCGGCTTCTACCCGCGACACGCTCGCAGAGCGTGGCAGGCGCGGCACTTTCTCGACGCCGCTGGGGGGTTGCAGAGGGTGGCCCCTCAGCGGGGCCTCCATCCGTGACGCGCAGCAGAGCGTGGAGCGTGGCAGGCGAGGCACATTCTCGACGCCACATGGGGGTGCGCAGAGGGTGGTCCCTCAGTGCGGCCTCTATTCGTGATGCGCTCGCAGGGTGTGGCAGGAGTTGGGGGCGCTCCGTTCTTTCAGGCTTCCAGGGCGCGTCAGGCGTAACAGTTCCTCGACACCGGAGGCCGGCGCATGGGGCGGGGAGTTTCCAGAGATCGACATATGGGACACATGTCTTTGAACCTCGAGCATCCTGATGTGTACCTAGATTTCCACCAAGACGCGCCCTGCTTCCGTATTTGAAAACAGCAGCGGTCCCCTGTAGCGCGCGGCATTCACGCCGCCGAAATTGCCATCGCCGCCCTGCCACCTCCGTCTTTGGCGCTGAAGGAGGCAATGAGTGGGATGGGCCTTGACGTCAATATGGCAGGCTTGCGCGGCTACAAGGATGCGCAAGGAGATCTCCTGGTTCGAAACGCATTTAATGCTTATCGTAGACAACTCGCCAACTGGCGGCCTCCCGGGAGAGATCTTTCGCCCGCGCTGTCTGCCAGCCAAAATCTGGATGCAGGTGCACAAGTTCGAGAAGCAGAACCTGGACGTGGTGGCCGCTCTCATCAACTCCTTCGGAATCCAGAATGAGACGGCGAACGGCCCGTTCTGCTTCCCGCTCATGGAGGCGCACTTCAAGTGGCAAAGCGCCAACATAGCGCACCGGGTGAAAAGATTCGGGCACGCGCTCACGCGCGGGCGCTTCCTGACGTCCACCGCGTCACAGGGCCAGACGATCCGCGCTGGGGTGACCATCGACTGCGCGCAAGACACGAGCGTTGGCAGACCGGAGGAAAGAGCGGATAACTGGTGGCTGCACCTGCACGCGATGCTCAGCATATCCACTTGCATGGACGATATGCTTTTACTTCGGCCGCAGCCAAGGGAGGTCCTGCAGAAAGGCCCGCCCCCATCCGCACTCAAATCGCTCCAAAAGTTCGATGGGCGCATGGCCACGGAGATGCAGGATATCGAGGCCCTCGCCTTAGCACGCCGATGGATCTTGCCGGCGCCGCGAGGTCGTTGGAGCGCTGCCGCTCAGAGATTTCGCATCGAAGAGCGCTCCCAGAGACTCTCTGTCAAAGAGATTATTTGATGTTTTCTCGTGCGCGTGCAGCTCGGAGTCTTTGCGCGCAGAAGCTGCGCCTTCGCTCGCGAACATTTTTTCCACGCTTCGCTCCGTCAAACGGGCTTCGGTGACCCCCGCCCTCTCTTGCCGCGCCGAGGCAACGCCGAAGCATGTGTGAAAGAGTCCCGCCCATCAGGGCTGGCCATTCGTCGTCGTCGTCGTGGTCGTAGTCGTCGTCGTCGTCGTAGCCGTCGTCGTCGTTGTCACCGTCGTAGTCGTCGTCAGCGTCGTCGTCATCGTCGTCGTTGTCTTCGTCGTCGTCGTGGTCTTCGTCGCCGCCGCCGCCGTCGTCGTCGTCGTCGTCGTCGTCGTCGTCGTCGTCGTTATGCGTTCGGCCGACGCCTGCCTTAGGGATCTCTTGGAAGTGCTATCCGTCCCCGCGGTCTTGCATGACGCTTATGGCCTCCTCGGCCCTTCGGCCCCCCATCTCTGCCCATCTGTCCGCCTTCGGTTGCTTTCGCCCTCCCCTCCCCTCCCCCACCCGCCCTCCCCTTCCTTTCAACGACCGCAGGGGCACCACAGAGCATGATGGCGGTGGTAGTGGTAGTGCGGCTCACACAGGACATAAAATAAGTATGTGGGGTTCCTCAGTAGCGTAATTCGTCCACAATCCCCCTGTCGGAGGACATGCCCGACCGAAGAATATTGCCATCGAAGACGAACAAGTTGCGTGAACGTGCAATTTCGGGGTTCCGCATGCGTCGCCCTTGGCGCGCTCCGTGGGATTCGCGCCGCTGCGAGCCGAAGGAGCTCGGCAGCCGCTCGGCGCGCGCGCTTCCAGTAGTCCTACCGCCCAGTGGTTTCCCTTGCCGCGACCGTTGGAGCAGGGGCCGAACAAAACTGTTTGGGACCGACCAACAGTTTGTACTCGGCTCAATGTTCATGTTCGGTCGGTTCGGTCCCAAATTGTTGTTCGGTCCCAAACTTTGTGTTCGGAGGGGCAGGCGCTCAGCGGCGCTGGGAACGACGGGGTCGCAGTCCTTCGTCGCTGGTCGGGTCACCGGGGCGCGAGCCTGGCGCGGCGCGTGGCCAACTCCATGAGAAGGGGGCGAGGATGACGACGAGGAGGAACCCTGGAACCCTCGAGCTTGCGAGCCCTCGAACCTGCGAGCCCTCGAGCCTTCGAGCCCTGGAGCCTTGACCAGCGTTTTCCTCTTAGTGCTTTCCTCCAGGGCTCTCGGCGCGAAAGGTTCTGAAGGCGGCGGGCGAGATTGTGGCATCGTGGTGGTCGCGCCTTTTTTCCTCCGGTTTGGGCCGCATCCTCCCTTTTCCCTTTTTTCTCGGTCTCTCGATGGTGCGACATGCTCAAGTCTATGCGCTACCTTCGCACTGTCTCGAGGTCATCCGCAGATTGCATCAGCTGCCGTAGGCCCCGTTCTGGGGCCAGCACCTCAAGCGCGAATGCCGACTGCGCTAAATGTTAAGTTTCTTGGAGCCTCCAACAAGATATGCAATCATAGCCGTGCCTGCCGCTCCACTGCAAGAGCCGCGCCGGGCTCCGTCCACGCAGGGCCTTGCATTAATCAGCCATCGCCCAGGCCAGACCGCGTCTTTCTATTTCGTCCCACGGTTGGCCCCTGTGTAAGGCCATGTTTGTTGCGTAGATCTACCAGACTGCCACTGGAAATGCGGGTAGGCGGTCGCACGCCTCTGCAGAAAAATATTGTTTTGGGCAACGTGCTATGCGAACGCCGACAGGGCGCAGAAAGTGTTCCCTCAAAATTGCCCTGCTGGCAAAAGGTTCAGCGACCTGCTGATTGTCTCTTGGCACGCATACGGAAGAGCGGTTGCTGTTCCACTCCGTTTCGCGAGATGTTCCAGGAGAGTCGGGTGTATCCAAGATGCGCGGCCCGCTGATTGCCTCGCTCGATTTGCTTTGCTCAATGGGGGGCAACGTCAATGCTCTGCAAATCGCGTTCCACAGTATCCACGCACTGTTGAAGAGTCTGGAACGCATCGTCCTGGAATCTACCAGCTAGCCTGCTGATGCACACTTCGGTTGTGAATTACTCCGACTTTCCGTGATGTATCATCCAGGGCAAACGCTTCGTACCGCCACGTATTGTGCCCTATAGGATTTTACCTTACCAGTTGCAATGGGTTCGTTTCTATGTTCAAGCATCTCCGAGTTTTGAGCCTCGCCGATATGTACATTGAAGTTGTATGGGCCTATGTAACAGAACTTGTGCATTGAAGGCTCTTTCTCTTCTTCCTTCTCCTCGTGCTCCTCTTCGTCCTCCCCCACGACCTCCCTCCTTCCCCTTGGGATCACACGTGCTTCCTGAAGCGCGCCTGCGCGCGCATGGCGCTCTGCTCAGGACACTGTGATTCTAAAGTAGCGGCCACCTCTTCCTCGTCCTCCTCCTTCCTCCTCCTTCCTCCTCCTCCTCCTCCTCCTTCCCTCCTCCTCGTCCTCCTCGTCGTCTTCGTCCTCGTCCTCCTCCTCCTTGTCCTCCTCCTCCTTCTTCTCGTCCTTCTTCCCCTCCCTCTTTCCCGTGCCGTATGCCCCCCCCCACGCCAGAAATTGAGAGGCCCTCGTCGTCCTCCCGCCTTTCCCGTGGTCCTGTTCACTCCTCACTCCTCACGCCTCACCCCCTTTCCCTCCATCCTCGAGCCTCCTCCTTCCCAATATCGTCTTTTCCCCTTTCCCTCCTCCTTGTTCTCATCACGCCTTCTCGTCCTCTTCATCGTCCTTTCCTCCTTCTCCTCTGCCCTCCCCCCTCCCCCCCCCTCACCGTCGACCTCCGTCCTCCCCCCTCGTCCTCTTGTCCTCCGGCTGCGGCTGCCGCTCCTGCTCCTCCTTCAGGTCCTTGCCATCGGCGCAGCTCCCATTCACCGAAGCCGCGTGGTCGTTCGTCCGCGTGCTGTTCGGATGCTCCAGTGGCCGAACAAGCAAGAGGCCGTCGGCCCTCCTTCAGCACTGCGTCAGCACAGGCTAACGAGGACGTGTCCAAGAGCATCTTCTTATTCCTCCTCCTCCTCCTCCTCCTCCTCCTCCTCCTTTGCTCATCCTGTTCGTTTTCCTCCCTCTCCTCGTCCTCGTCTTCGTCCTTTTCCTCCTCCTCCTCGTTCTCGTCCTCCTCGTCCTCGTCGCTGTCGCTGTCCTGGTCAGAGGCCATCTGGAGGCGCCAGGGCTTAGAGCCCAAAGCAATGTATTCGTCCTGCCTCTGGTCCTCCTGTCCTCGCACCCCCTCCCTCCCCCTCCCTCATCCATCCTCTCTCCTCCTCCTCCTCCTCCTCCTCCTCCTCCTCCTCCTCCTCCTCCTCCTCCTCCTCCTCCTCCTCCTCCCCCTCGTCCTCCACCTGGCGCGCGCGCACCTGCGAGAGAAGGTGCCTTTGTCTCGTTGGGCCCAGACCGAGACTGGGGCCAGTAGTTATGCGATGCGGCAGTTAGTGTGTGATGTGCAGTTGGCGACGTGTTGTTCTTGCTTTGCCTTGTCGTCTTCCTGCTTGTCCTCGTCTTCCCCCCCCCCGGGGGGCGCGAAGGTGCTTGCGCCTCGCGCGCCGCGGCTCGGGCTGGCGAGGCGCCCCCCTCCAGACTCGGCGCCGGGGAGGGCGCGAAGGTAACCAGCGCGACGCGCACCGCGGGCCGCGAGGGCGCGAAGCTAGGTCGTGGGCGTCGTCGTGGGCGTCGTCGTCGCGGACGCCGACCTGGGCGTCGACGTGGACGTCGTCGCCGTCGCCGTCGTGGCGTCGTCGGCGTGGGCGTCGTTGCTGTCGTCGACGCCGCTGCCGTCGTGGCGCGTGTTGTCGGTGTCGACCCCGTCGGCCTCGCCCCACGGCGCGCCGCCCTCCGCAGCCGGCATGGCGCCCTGAGGTGCGCGGGGGCGGGTCGGACGGGGCCAGGGCGAGGACCAATCCGTTCCAGAGCGGCCCGGAACGCTCTCAGAGCGTTCTGCAACGCTCTGAGCACAAGGGGCCCCCAGGCGGTGTGGTGACCACACCGTGCGGTGAGTCGATGGGGATTCGGGATCACCGCACGGTTGTGGGACTCGGGTCGTTCTCCGAGGATGTCTCGGGCGGCTGGGACCTCCGAGGTCCCAAACCAGTGTGGTGACGGACCCTGCGGTGAGGTCTTTGAGGATTTCGAGGTCACCGCCGTGTCTGTCACCACACGGGCTTGGGACCCCCAAGAGAAGGCCGCGGCGCCCGAGACATCCTCCAGAGCCGCCGGACTTACGAGATTCTCGATGTATCCTCACCCGATGTTATCCTCGTCCCAGCTTCGTCTTAGCGGAGGCGCGCCCGCGGGGGGCCATGTCGTCGGGCCCGCCCTCGGCGGCGCGGGGAGCGGACGGTGCGCCCGAGGACGGGGTGGCGCGGCCTTGGTCCTCCTCCGTGTCCTCGTCCTCGTCCTGCGTGTCCTTCGGGGGCGACCAAGAGGGGGGTGATGACCAGGGGGGGTGGATATCATGACCCCGGATCTCATGACGCCTCTTCTTATTTCAATACGTCCCCAGCCCCCCCCCCTGGGCCGCACGCATGCCGCCGGCCATGATGTGCGCCCCCCCCCTCTTGGCCGCCCCCGAGTCCTCCTCCCATACCTTTCGCCGGAGTGACCTTTAGTGCGGGCCCAATGTGGTCCCCCTATCTCCGAGTGCGGTGAGATAGTGGCGTCTTGCGCGCTTGTGTTTGGTCCGTCGGCGGCCCTCAGAAAGCCGCGCACCAAAGGTCATTCTTACCCGGGGTCACTCCTGCGTGTAGTCGATCCCACGTCGTCGTCCTCCGTCCTCCTCGTCTTCCGTCCTCCTCCCTGTCCTCCTCTTCCTTCATGCCCTCCTCCCTCGTCCTCGTCCTCCGTCCTCCTCCTCCTCCTCTCCCTCCGCCTCTTTCTGTGTCCTCCGTCCTCCTGCTGATGCTGGCGTGGGCTGGTCTGGCCGCACTTCCTTCTCCTCCTCCTCATTCTACTCCTCCTCCTCCTCCTCCTCCTCCTCCTCCTTCTCCTCCTCCTCCTCTTCTCTCATTGTCCTCCTCCTCCTCCTCCTCCTCCTCCTCCTCTTCGCCGTTTGAGCTTCGAGCTTCGGGCGGTGCTGTACCTGGGTGCGGATGGCCCTCCTCCCGACCAGCGCCAGAAGGAGACCAAGAAAACCTGGATGTCAAATGGAGATAGGGGGTCGACCGAAAGGCGAGACGGATCCTGGAGGCAGGTAGAGAGGAGTGCATGAGGAGTACAGGTGGCCCTGGCCAGCACGCCAGGACTGTCTTCGGGCGACACCGTGCCACACCGCGGCCGCACCCACTCAGAGTATCATCGAGAAGCGTGGCGCGGGGGCCGCGAGGGTTATTGTGTGGACGGGGGGTCTCCCGCTGGACGAGGTCGTGACGCAGCGCGGGCGGCGCACGCACTCTGCGCGGTTGCGGCGCGCTCGGAGTGAAGCCTACGAGCCTGTGCGCCATTGGGACAGAACGTGGACAATCTAACTATTCGAACCCAATGCAGGCTCGGAGGAATACTAATCCCCCCCGCCCCCCCCATATCAATGTTGGACTCGGTATGGGTGGTGATCTGGGGTTTCGAATAGTTTTGTCCATTCAAGCCCCCGTGCTTGCCACATCCTCAAATTTTCATTTGGGGGTCCGGAGGGGCCATCTGGCGCCGCAGGGTTCGAATAGACTGTCCATGTGCGGGACATCGCAGACATGTATCGCGCTTTGCAGGCGCTGGCCATCGAGGCATTCCAGAAGACACGTCGTATACGCTGGTTGTGGAGTGCCCTCGGCGGGTCCAGCTGTGGGTCCGGAATCTCTGTGGGGCGGGCGGTGCGGATCACCATTTCGAGTATCACCCCGAGCTCGCTGCGCTGGTCATCCAAGGGTTGCTGTCGTTCTGGGCCTCACCCCAGACATTCAGTCTGCGAGGATCAGCCGCCCATCCACATGGAAAATGGCTACCGCCAGCGCGCCGAATATGAAGCGGTCCCAGCCGGACGATCGGCGCCCGATGGTTGAACGTTCCCGTTGGCCCACCGCTTGCTTGGACACGCCAGCAGCACGTGCTCTCGATTGGTTCACCGCCGCCTTCTTGCCCTCCTTCGCACACGTAGACCTCGACCGCACCGACTCCGTGACAGCTCTCTTGGACGAGTTCTGCGAGTCGGGTCTAGCCACTCCCGTGCGGGGGTCGGGCACTGACGTCAAGAGTTGTTTCACGAATATCCCCCGCGCCCTCGCTCGGGGTCGTGGTCTTTCTGTTGCGTGGCACCCGCGGGGTCGTTCAATGCGATCTGAGTGGGGCGCCTGTGCAAACGCGAGGTGCCCCTCGAGGGGCGGCTGCCGTCCCGAGTGCATGGACGACACGTCACACTGTCCGTGGCCACCATCTGGATACGGTGTTTGTTTCTCTTTGGCGCCTTCATTGGCAAGGTCTGGTGATGGGGAGTCCTTTGGGGTCCACCCTTGCACGCATGTCGCTGTCATATCTCGGTATGCGCTGATTATATTCTCTGCACGGCCCCGCCTGCCGCCTTTAGGGTCCAGGGGGCGCGAGCATTCAGAGTGGTTCAACGGCAACTGCATACTCGTCCTGGGAATGACATTACCTCTTGCTATGGAAGGGCCCTCCGGAGCTCACGTCCACGGATATCGACATCATAGCGGAAGCGCTGGGGGCAATTGCGCAGGCTCGATGCCCGCTGCCCCTGGAGTCGGAGCCCTGCAAATGCTCGACGGTACCGTGCGTACGAGGCCGTCAACGAAACCTCCTTGGAGCGGAGTCACATGCCAGCCTCACGCCGTACTCCAGCTGCGTCACTCCCTCTGTCAAAAAGGCTTTGGCGCTGGGAGTCGTGGCGAGGGTCCCCAGCTACACGGGGCCGGCAGAAGAGTAGGATGAGGTCCTCCCAATCTTCGCTGATCACCTCTGTCGCTTCTCCGGCTACCCTCCTGACTTGCTGCACAAGTGGGTCCGGAGTGCATGAGCGCGCCAGGCCGGTAGTTTTCGCCGCCTGTTTCGAGGTGGTCTTCCATGCCGTAGTCTCGCTCGCCCTGCTTTCCGTCTACCTTCTCCTCATCCTCCTCCTCATCCTCCTCCACCCTCGGCTCCCGCCTCTTGTGCCGTAGTCTCTCCCCCCTTCTTCGTGCGACCCGCTGAGGATTCCCGACGGCGGTGGAAAATGCATTGCCTTCAGGGGGCCTGCCGGAGGAGTGCGTATGCGCATTTCTGATGACACGTAAGGTTGATCTTTGGTTTCCCCTTTGGGGTTGCGTGACTCTGACCCCGGAGGGGCCTCCAGGAGCACCGGTCGGGGCCCCTCCAGAGTGGTTCTGGGGGAGCGCCAGGGGGCTGCGTGTCGATGCGCCCAGTGATGTCTCCAGGAACATCTCGGTGGGGCCTCCCCGGTGTGCTTCCGGCGGGGGGCGCTTGGGCGGTGTGTGTCGATGAGTTCCCAGAGGTGTTTCCGGGAACATCAGTCTGGGCTCCTCCAGAAGGCTTCGGGAGGGGCGCCGGGGGCGGGGGTGAGGGGGCAAGGGCATGAGGGGGAGGAGAGTCAGGAGGAGGAGGAGGCGGAGGAAGAAGAGGAAGATCAGGTTGTCTCCGCACATCTCCGGTTTTGATTCGTCTTCTGGGTTAGGGCTTTGTATGGTGTGCGCAAGGTCGCCGCTTTGCTACTGGCGGCAACGAAATGCTATCCTGTTGGTGCGAGCCATTGCAGTGCTCGTTTCTTACACGACTGCAGTGGAGTCCGAATAGCGGCTCGTTGGTGCACCTTCTGCGCGCACAGGCGGTCTCATCGAAGGTTGTCCGCGAAGATGCGTCTAAATCAACAGTAGTGGCACCCTCGCCGGACAAAAAGTGGAGAGTGGGGTGGCAGCTGGGGCGGGGTGGTCGGGGCATCTCAACTCTTCGTTTCCTAGGCTGAGCTGGCTACCTGCCTCTGATCGAGTCCTTTTCGTTGACCGAGCTGTTCAAACGTCCAGCCTTCTCGCTCGCGGTGAACCCGTGTCAGGTCAAATAAATCGACGAAGAGCAATTGCGTAAACGTACACTGTCGGAGCTCCGCGCGGATTTCTTGGATCGGTACCCGGCACCCAGCGCGCCAGGGAGGGTGGTCCAGCGACGATCCAAGAAATCCGTGCGGAGCCCCGACAGTTCCCATGTACGCGTTGTTCTTCCCTCTAAAATCGGGCGACGAGATCGATACACGTGAAAATATCCACTACCCCAGGCCTGGCCCATCCTGGGCCCAGGAGCGCCCTCCTTGGCCGAGCCAGGGGGGGCGTATATACCGCTCCTGGGCCTAGGATGCGCCAGGCCTGGGGCAGTGGATAGGTGTCGATCTCGTCCCCCTCTAAAACATGAAGCTTCTCCTCCTCCTCCTCCTCCTCCTCCTCCTGCATCCGTGGCTCTGGCAGCCGTCCAACTTTAGCACGAGTGGCCACTTGGGCCCTCGGATACACCCCAACAGGGATTTGGGGCAATGAGCGATTCGAAGCAAACGGAGTCCTCCTCCTCCTCCCCTTCCTCCCCCTCGTCCTCCCCTGCCTCCTCCTCTACATGAAGCTCCTCCTCCTCCCCCTCCTCCCCCTCGCCCTCCCCCGCCTCCTCCTCTACATGAAGCTCCTCCTCCTCCCCCCCTCCTTTTACGTTAGACCGACCTTAGGTTACCCTGTGGCGTTAGCCCCCCCCCTCCTCCCCCTCCTCCCCCTCCTATCCCGCTGCCGCGGGAGCACCCGAGGAGGGGGCGCGCGTGTGGGTGGGCGGACTGCCCGCGCAGGTCGAGGAGGCGCCCCCGCCCCCTCCCAGCCTTTCCCCCGCCGCCGCCGCAGACGACGACGACGACGACGACGGCGACGACGACGACGACGAGGACGAGGACGAGGACGACGAGGACGACGAGGACGACGACGACGCCGACGACGACGACGACGACGCCGCCGCCGCCGACGCCGCCGCCGCCGCCGCCGACGACGACGACGACGACGACGACGACGACGATGCCGACGACGACGCCGACGACGGCGACGACGACGACGACGATGCCGACGGCGACGGCGACGGCGACGACGGCGGCGGCGGCGGCGACGACGGCGTGAGGGCGCGTCTCGCTTGTGTCTTTTCGTACCCAGGAGCTGCCACGCGCGTGGGCCAAGCGCTGGGAGCACGTTTCGCTCGTCTCTCTGCGTGACCCCAAGAGAATGCATAAAATCGGCCATCGTGAGGCCGGAGGAGACCGGCTTGAGTCTGGCGGAATACGTGAGGCCGCTCCTGGCATGCTTTCACGCGTGTTTATCAGCATCCTTCATGTCACCTTCATCTCGTTGTTTTTTCTCGAAGTCTAACACGGCGAGGTCCTGCAGGGTGCCCGCCGAATTTAATTTTTTCGCTCACTCCTCCGACCCATTCGCTCACTCCGCCGGCCCATTTCGTATCACCGTTGGTGTGCCAAGACATTCCATCGACTACGCGTAAGATTGACCCTTCGCCGGAGTGACCTTTGGTGCGCGTTCACGGGGTCCCCCGGTCGCAACGTGCGGTACGGTTTTAACGTCTTGCGCGCTTGTGTTTGGCCTCCTCGCGCCCCACACAAGCCGCGCACCAAATATCACTCTTGCCTAGGGTCACTCTTACGTGCAGCCGATGCCAAAAGGTCACAACCATTTGTCAACAGGCCGCCAAAAAACGCCTCCCAACAGGGATGGGGACGGCTCCCAGGAGCCCCGAGAGAGCGCAGGACTGGCCCATGAGGGCTCGGTGGTCCACGCGGAGTACCGTCAGGAGGGGGAAAACACACAGACACAGTTCATTGTCGATTCCCCAGAGAATATAGGAGAATATGGGGAGTGGAGGGGAAGACAAAAACCCAGAAGATATAGGAAAATATGGGGAGTCCTGTTATTTGTGTCTATTTATTTGTGTGTCCCAGGGCCCCTTCATACCAGCGCGCAGGATTCGTCAAAGAGCGCCTGAGAGAGTGTGTGCAGTTGTCTCAAGGGTTGCCTCCAAGAACGCCTGAGACAGCGCCTCGTTGCACCTCGGGTTGCAGCAAGAGGCAGGAGGAGAAGGGAGAGGTGAGGCGAGGTTGAGAAAAGACGGGGGATGCATATCACACATGAGCAAGGGAAGGAAACAGGAAAGGGGGAGAGGGACTACACTTCGCCGAATTATTTGTCCTCGGTCGCGCGGCCACGCTGCGAGCACATACTCCCCTCCCGCCGTTGTTTGCGCACGAGTCGTACCCCGATTCCTTCTGTTTCCGAGCGCACTCGTCCTCCGCCTCAAGGCATCGCTGAAGGAGAAGTTCGAGCGCTTCGGGAAGATAGGAACCGGCCCGCACCGATTGCCATGAAGAAGATGGGGCTTGAGGCCTGGAGGTCTGTGGAGGGCGGCACGGATGACCGAAACGGTGGCTAAGGGGGGGCCGAACACATGTCAGTGGAAGCATGCAGACACATTTATGTGTATATATATATACACACATGTACAGACATGGAACTATATTGCTAAGAGTCTGTACTGGCATTGGTTAGTGTAAGTTAGCCAGCGTGGGCCCCATCCAGTGTGCTCCTAGCAGTAAGTGTTTTACCATCTAAGGGGAGCAAGCTATGAGCTATGTGATGCAATTACTGTTTGGTTGCAGTGAGTTGTCAATTCTAGACGCTTCGCGTATCCCCACCAGCCCCTACCCCAGGCCCGTTGGGCGCACCGCTGCATGCCCGTTCAGGGGCTGTCTCTGGCTCCTGGATTGCATCGGCCCCGCCGCCCTGGACGCTGTCGTGAGCCGCCTGATCCGCGGCCCCGCGCGCGTTAGGTAATTTAGTCGCGTCCGCGGCCCGTTCGCGACCTCCCGCCGCTGGCGCTTCCGCCTGCGGCTGTAAAAAAAAATAAAAAAGTATCCCCACCAACCCGTCCAGAAACGACGCCCAGGCGAGTAGAGGGTCGTCCTGAGGGTTTTTTCGGCGTCTTGGGTGCCTCGGGGGGGCCTCTTTGGGCCGTTTGGGATCCTCTTGGGGGCCTCCTGGGGGCCTCTTGGGGCTATCTTGGGGCCATCTTGGGGTCTCTTGGTGCCTCCTGGGCGCTTCTTGGGGCCATCTAGGAGGAAATCGATCAAAGAAGAGGGGAGCTTTAATTAGCGCTGCCCCCTTCAGAAGGCCAAAATGGGGCGAAAACCTTAGTGAAATCAATGATTCTGGCTTCAAAGAAGAGGGGCGCTTTAATTAGCGCTGCCCCCTCAGAAGAAAACCTTAGTGAAAATCAATGATTTTGGCTTCAAAGAAGAGGGGAGCCTTAATTAGCGTTGCCCCCTCAGAAGGCCAAAAAGGGGCCAAAACCTTAGTACAATCAATGATTTGGGCTTCCTCGGCGAGGCCGTTTTGGACGCTCTGACCGCTCCCCGCCCCTCCTGTCCAGGTCAGTGGGGAGGGGGTAGGAGGAGGGGTAAACCCCTCCCCGAAGGGGAAGGAGGGGTGGAAGAGGAAACTCGTTAAACCACCGACGCCCTAAAGGGCTGGTGGAGCTCCACTGTTCGCGCAATCATCCCACCCACCGACCCGACAATTGGTTTGCAAAACCCATGAGGCGGCAATTGTGGTGCTTGCGCGGCGCTGGCCGGCGCATCGTTGCGGCCGCGCTAGCGCGCGCAGGCTTGCGCGCAGAGCAGCCAGTTGGTCTTGCGCGACCGCCGCGGCCGCGGTGACGCTGACCGCTGGGGACTCACCAAGGCGTCTCACAGGCCGCGCTGACGTGCGGGCACTTCAGTGCGAGGCGTTGAATTGGGCGGGAACGGTATCATGGCGACGTCGACGACGGTAGACAAGATAATGATCGTATTGATGATGGTGACGACGATGATGATGATGACGGCGAGGCCAATGACGGTCCCGAGGTTGATCACACTGGTGACGATGATGGTGTCTTCGCGTCGGCGCTGAAGGCTTCGGAAGGATTTCGACATCGCGCGCGGCCGATGGGCTTAAGTGGCCCGCGTGGTGTTATTTGAAATGGACCGCCCCCCCCCCCCGCAGGCATGCGCGCAAGAGCGCTCGAATGACACGCGCGCGAGATGCCCGCTTGGAATTCGCGAGGGCGTGCTCGCAGATTTGTTTGGTACTTCTCTGAAGCAGGATGCTGCAAAACCATGCCGTTTTGATCTGTGGTCAACCGATTGGAAAAATTCTACGGCACCTAAGGTTTTTGAAGGGTTCCAGCATGTGCGCGCGCGATGACGCGCGCGCATTTGCATGTCGTCCCGTGCGTTGCGAGGGAGTTTGACAACTGATGGTTTTTGATAAACGAGTGCGCGCGCATGGACATCGTTTCTCGCAAAGGATGATGGGTGGAGGGGGCGATACCGGTTAGGTTGGAAAATATGAATTCAGATTTAGAGTAACGAAGGGACAAAATCGTATGTCAATTGTGCATCCCCAGGGGGGCCGATGATCCCGGACTCGGGGGGGTGGGGGGTCGATTTCAATTTTTATTGAGAAAACATGCACGTGGTGAAAGACCGTCATTTATACATTGATATTCCTTTTCCTATATGTTTATAAGCCCGGGCGGGGGGAAGACCCGTCAAAACCCGTCACCCCCTCCAAAAACCGGACTCCCAGGATCTACCCTCCGGACGGGCCTCGAAGCGGCCCCCAGGGCCTCGCAGGGCGTTTTGCCAAGCCTTCCCAGCACACCTAGGGCGATCAGGGGGGTCGTCCCAGAGACCCCCGAGACAGCACAAGAGCCCTCCAAGAGTGACCGACGTGACCTCAAGATGGCCCAAGAGGTCTCCAGGACGGCCCCAAAGAGGCCTCCAAGAGCACTCCCAAGAAGGCCCCAAGAGGCAAACATCATTTTCGGTTGGTTTTTGGTGAGTGTGGGGGTTCTCCTCTCTTCGGCTTCCCGACGCTCCAAGACGGCGGCCTTCTGGGCGTCCAAAGCCGCCCCACAGCCATCCGAAAGGGTTTCCAGGCAGTCCAAGAGAGCCCCAAAACCGAACAAACGGGTCCAATATGGCCCTCACAGAGCCCCATGGCGACCCAAGATGGCCCCAGGACATCTTCCGAAGCATTCCAAATCGTGACCCGGTCGTTCAGGGAGACCGTGGTTGGAGGCAGGGTGGCCCGAGGAAGCCCCCAGAGGCCCCCAGAATACGCCCAGGAGGCTTCCAGAAGGCTTTAAGAACGCCTGAAACAACTTTTGTGAGGCCCCCAGAGGCTCTCCAAGGCGGACCCTCCGCAAAAAAGGGCTGAGGAGGATGGGGAGAATGCGCAGGGTATGGCGAAAATTAGGAGAAAGACGCATGGAGGAATGATAACGAATAACATTGTCATAGCGGCGATGCCGGCAAAGGCAACAAGGAGTTATCGCTAAATTGTCGGCTCGACCTTCCTGCTATTCCGCCTGCGTACCAATTTTCAAGGACCAAGGTGCATGGCGCAAAGCGCCTCTGCAGTCTTTGCATGTATATATACACACATATATACACACATATAGAGAGAGAGAGAGAGAGATCCGTAAGGGCTTCGCCCCCTGCCGCCGGCCCCCCCTCTCTCGAAGAATGGGCCATGGAAAAGCGAAGTCATGAGGCTTTGGCTTCGCCGTGAAGCAGTGTCGGGACTTGTTTGTTTTTCGATCCTGAACCTACGGATCTGCGTGAGGGGTGCCGCCGAATGTCAGAAATGTGGCAAATCCTTTGTGTTTTTGGACCCTGACCCTACGGATCTGCGTAACGGGTGCCGCCGAATTTCAGAAATGTGGCAAATCCCTTGTGTTTTTGGACCCTGACCCCGCCGATCTGCGTGAGAGGTGCCGCCGAATTTCAGAAATGTGGCAAATCCTGTGTGTTTTTGGACCCTGACCCCGCCGATCTGCGTGAGGGGTGCCGCCGAATTTTAGAAATGTGGCAAATCCTTTGTGTTTCCGTACCCTGACCCCGCCGATCTGCGTGAGGAGTGCCGCCGGATTTCAGAAATGTGGCAAATCTCATGTGTTTTTGAACCCTGACCCCGCCGATCTGCGTGAGGGGTGCCACCGACTTTCAGAAATGTGGCAAATCCCTTCTGTTTTTGGACCCCTGACCCCACCGATCTGCATGAGAGGTGCCGCCGAATATTAGAAATGTGGCAAATACTTTGTGTTTTTGGACCCTGACCCCGCCGATCTGCATGAGGGGTGCCGCCGAATTTCAGAAATGTGGCAAATCCCTTGTGTTCTTGGACCCTGACCCCGCCGATCTGCGTGAGGGGTGCCACCGAATTTCAGAAGTGGAAATCTCGTGTGTTTTTGAACCTTGACACCGCCGATCTGCGTGAGGGGTGCCACCGACTTTCAGAAATGTGGCAAATGCTTTTTATGTTTTTTGGACCCTGACCCCGCCGATCTGCATCAGGGGTGCCACCGGATTTCAGAAATGTGGCAAGTCCTTTGTGTTTTTGGACCCTGACCCCGCCGATCTGCGTGAGGGGTGCCACCGAATTTCAGAAATGTGGCAAATCCCTTGTGTTTCTGGACCCTGACCCCGCCGATCTGCGTGAGGGGTGTTGATTTTTTCCCACCCCAGCAATTCAAACAATACGATTCGGGCGTGGTAGAAATGCCCGTTTTGGGTCTCCCCCCTCGCGCGGTCCATCAACAAGGAACAGTAAGCAGCAAGAAGCAGAACTGTAACCAGGAACAGCAAGCAGCAAGAAACAGAACAGTAACAGTGGAAATTGGAAGCTGCAACTGGTACAGGAACTGCGAGCCTCCGGCCTACAGCCTGGTGGCCCCACAAGGGGGCTTGCGGATACATATATATATATATATATATACATACATACATACATACATACATACATACATATATATATATATATAGATGTATATATGCGTATGTGTATATATTTATATATACATACACACACGTGTATATATATATATATATATATATATATATATATATCTGTGTGTGTGCGTGGTGCAATATCCGTAAGGGCTTCGCCCCCTGCCGCCGGCCCCCTCTCTCGGAGAATGGGCCATGGAAGAGCAGGTTTTGGACCCTGACCCCGCGGATCTGCGTGAGGGGTGGCACCGAATTTCAGAAATGTGGCAAATCCCCTTTGTTTTTGGACCCTGACCCCGCGGATCTGCGTGAGGGGTGGCACCGAATTTCAGAAATGTGGCAAATCCCTTGTGTTTTTGGACCCTGACCCCGCGGATCTGCGTGAGGGGTGGCACCGAATTTCAGAAATGTGGCAAATCCCTTGTGTTTTTGGACCCTGACCCCGCGGATCTGCGTGAGGGGTGGCACCGAATTTCAGAAATGTGGCAAATCTCATGTGTTTTTGAACCCTGACCCCGCGGATCTGCGTGAGGGGTGGCACCGAATTTCAGAAATGTGGCAAATCCCTTGTGTTTTTGAACCCTGACCCCGCGGATCTGCGTGAGGGGTGTCGATTTTGAACCCCCCCCAGCAATTCAGACAACGCGCCCAGGTGGTGCTAAAAATCTGGTTTGGGCCTCCCTCCCCTCGCGCGGTCAATCAACTAGTTACAGTAACCAGCAAGAAGCAGAACTGTAACACTGGAAACTACAAACTACAACTGGTACAGGAAACTGCGAATCACGGGCCTACAGCCTGGTGGCCCCACAAGGGGGCCGGCGGATATTCAGTGCGATAGACACTGTGCATTAAATGTGGTGCAACGGTCTAACAGGTCTATTTCGCGCGTGGCCACTTCCCGCGCTCGTGCACACATCACCCACGCATCTGCATGTGGTTGCAATGCCCATGAGGCGGCAATATTGCTGCATGCCTGGCGCTGGCTGGCGCATCGTTGCGGCCGCGATAGCTGGCGCAGGTTTGCGCGAAAAGCGGCCAGCTAGTCTGGCGCGACCGACGCGACCTCGGTGGCGCCGGACTTCTGATGGCGCTCTTCGGCAAAGTCGTCGGCCACCCCTGGTCCTTCATCGACGTTCGACATTTTGCCCGCGTCCCCTGGTAACGCCCTCGACCTGGACGCTTCTCTCGCGGCCGGCTTCCTCGTCGACTGTCCGTGCATCGTGCCAGCGCGGTTTTCCCGCTTTGGGGATCTTACGTGGTCCGTGTCCTCGCCTTCCTTGATTGGAGTTCCAAAGGGGGTTGCCCCGCCCAGAACGGACTAGAGTCGGCCGACGCCAGCGTCAGTTGCCACATCCCTGCTGGGCTTCCCCACGACCTCGTGGGTTTCTGCCCTCCACCACGCCACGCGCTGCTCGGACTCGCTCCTCGGCGCGCGCGCGCACCGGTTTTCACGGTCTGAGCGTGCTTCTCTCCCGCGTCGCTTGGCCCTCCATCCCCGCGCCCCCGTAGTGCCCAGTTGTTCTTCAGCGCGTCCCGCCGCTGCTTTACCGCCGCCTCCGAACAACAAATGTATGTGAGTGTCGGTGGCCGAGACCGCGTTGAGAACTTGAGCTGCGCGCGGTCGCTCAGTCGTTCGAAGCATGTAGCGCCCAAATTGCAGAAGAAGGCACCATGGCGCAGTAGATGGAGGGCACCGCGCGCGTCCTCCAATGCACGGATTGTGCCCAAGAGTTCGGCGGCGGCAGAGCGTTGCCGTTGCGTGTGCTGATGGAGAATATTTAGGCATTGCCGTCTGCACCCCGCCGCAAGTCGAAACTGCGGGCAGCGTGCAGAAGCCTTCGAGGAAATCCGCGAGGCGGGCGTCGCTGTCGCCCCCCCCATCGGCGCCACTGTACAGTTGCCCGAATTAGTGTCGAGAGGCGGACTGCAGCGAGAATTAGTGTCGAGAGGCGGACTGCAGCGACAGCGGCAGCCAGCCAGTGGAGCGCCGGCGCCAAAGTGTGCGCCAACCGCTGGCCAGGCAACCGTCGACCAGGCGGAAGAAGTCCAGGTCGAGGTCAGCGCGGTGGGCGTGGACGTGGAGAGAGCCTTCGGCAACGCGATAGAAGGCCGGGCGAAACAGCAGGGGCCCGAGCAGATCGCCCTGCTGAGCCCCGCGTTCCGAGCGCTGCGCGCATGTGCCGAAGAGGCGAGCGAAGGGCGACCGTGGCACCAGTCGGCCCAGGGTGCCAGCCCCAGGAGGAAGGACCGTCTGTTGAAGGTACTCGATACACCTCGTACAGTTGCCGAGGTTGCGGCCCCACCGCTCTTTTGACACGTGGGCCGGTGCGTCCGAGCCGACAGTCGCGAGTCGCGTCGGCGACCTCGTGGCAAAGCAGTTGCCCACGAGGCGCGGGAAAGTCTCCCCGGCGGCGACCGGCCGAAATCCGCAGTCCCTCTCCGGCAGGGCGACGAGAGAAGCTCATGCGAAACGCTCCGTCACGGCAGCCACCGTGCGGCCATGCGCAAGCACGTTGACGAGAGCCTGGTGATGGGTTGGCCAAGCACCCCGTCCCAGTGAGTCGGGGCGCCCAGCGCGTCCTTCCAGGTATCGCGGCCGGAGGCCAGTTGGCCCGGCCTTCGGGCCCTGCGCGAAGGCACGTACCTCATGCCCGAGTGCAGCCGCATCAGCCTGCTAGACCGCGGCAGTTTGTATGGATGGGCACGGGCGACGTCCACTCTCTGCGGGCCAGACGGGCGTTTGCGGCGCATTTGTTCGACGACCTTTCGGGTGAGGGCAGTTGGCGGTTCGTCCGTGAGGGTTGAACAGCTCTTGGCGTATTCGGTGTCCGCCGCCAACTCCAAGCACCGCTGCTTGCGCGTGGAGGCACCATCTGGCGACGTTCGCGTGGGTCGCCCGTCCGTGACCTCGGCCCAAAGGTTGCGCACCTCGCCTGAGCCTCGCTGGCGTTCCTGCCGTTTTGCCCGCCCTTCTTGCGCGGCCAGACCACGCACTTTGGCCGCATGGCAAGCCACGCCCAGGCGGCAGCCTGGGCCGAACACCGCGCCCAACGGGTCCGCGCGCGTTTCGGCACGTAGTGTTCAGCTGTGCTGCGCCGGGAAAAGATCTCTTGCAGAGACGACAGGTCGGCCCGCCCGGCGCCCGTTTGCGGCCCACTCGCGGCCCACCAGGATTCTTGGGCCGTTTTTGGTCGCGGGAGTCCTGCCGAGCTCCGCCAGGGAGGCTCGGCAAAACCATCTTGAGCAGCGCTACGTTGCCATGGCCTGGCATGCCGGAAAAGTTCATGGTTTTTTTGGTTGTTCTTGGGGGAGAGAGAGAGAGAGAGAGAGAGAGCGCCGGAAAACGTCTTGGAGGGACGGCCCTATGAGAGCCTGGCGGGGGCGCCGGAGCGCCAGAAGGCTCACTCGTTGACTTTTTTGGGCCTCTGGACATCATCGGGGGCCTCTCAACCGTTGTGTTCGAGTGCTTCGTTAGACCTATTCGGGGTTCTGAGCCTTGGTCCGTCCTGGGCGCGCGATGGTTTTTCGAAACTCTCCTGGGGAGGCTCGGTGGAATCATCTGGAGCCGTCTGGACATAGCTTGAGGCTCTCTTGGAGATGTCGTGAGGCGGCCTTGGGCCCTCTTGGGGAATCCTCGGGTCGTGCAGATGGCCCTTGAGATCTGAGGGGCACGTAGCTTGCCGGCTTGCCCAGCGTTGCCGACGCTATCGAAACCAACTCGCTGCGATCCCGCAACCCTTTTCTCCTGCGCTCGCTCCCCTACTGCCCTGGCCCCTCCGTCTGCCCCACCTCCCCCGCCGTTCCCGTTTCCCTCCATCTCTTTCCGTTCTTTTTGCTCACGTCTCTTTCTGCCCCCCCCCCCCCCCCTTCCCCCTCCATCCCCTCCTTCCCTCTGGTCTATCCCGCTTCCTCCCTCACCTCCTCTCCCGTCTCTGTCTGTACTCCCTGATCATTTTCTTCCCTCCCCTTCCCTTCCCCCAACCCATCCCTCCTCCTCCTGATGCCCTCATCAGTTCCCCTTCCTCCCACGGTCCCTTCTCCCCTGCGCCGCCCCCAGAATTCGTTGTTATCCGACGTACGAAGAAGGACACCTACGCCTTCGTTCAATTCTACTCCGCCGAGCATGCCAGGGAGGGGCGGGGAGCCAGATGGGGCTGCGCGGCTTTTCTGGAGTATCAGGGAGTATACGTCGGACAGGTGCTCGAGGTCTGTGAGTGCTATGAAAGGTCACGAGCTGGTTCGACGTGCAGGTCGCACCATCTCAGATCATCGTATGCTGATTCCACGGCGCTTGCTACGCTATGCTACCCCAGACTGCGCCGACGGTCGCGCCAATCCATAGCTGTTTGAGTTCTTCTCCTCCCCCTTCTCTCCATCCCCCTCTTTCATCCTCCCCCGCCCCCCTCTCCTCCTCCCCCTCCTCCTTCATCCTCCCCCGCCCCCTCTGTCTCCTCCTCCTTCTCCTCCTCCTCCTCCTCCTCCTCCTTCATCATCCCCCGCCCCCGACTCTCTCCTCTCTCATCTCCTCCTCTCCTCCTCCTCCTCCTCCTCCTCCTCCTCCTCCTCCTCCTCCTCCTCTCCTCCTCCTCCTCCTCCTCCTCCTCCTCCTCCTCCTCCTCCTCCTCCTCCTCCTCCTCCTCCTCTCCTCCTCCTCCTCCCCCCCCTCCTCCTTCATCCTCCCCCCCCCTCCCTCTCTCTCGCTTTCTCCTTTTCCTCCTTCTCCTCCTTCTCCTCTTCCTCCTCCTCCTCCTCCTCCTCCTCCTCCTCAGATTCTCTCCTCATACTCTCCTCCCCCCCCAGGGTACTGTCACTCCTTCCCCCCTCGCCCCTCCTCTCCCCCCACTCCCCGCTGGCCCCCTCGTGGCGTACTTCCCCCGCCGCTCTTCACCCCCTCTGGGGCGTTCCGCATCGCCCGCGCTTCCGCCTGCCGCGGGGAGGGGGGTGCCGGGCACTCCCTTCGGGGCCCCGCCCCTGCGGCAAGCCGTGGCGCCTGGCGGTGCCCCTCTCCAGCACCTCCACGTCCCCCCTCTTCCTGCACCTTGGCGTCGCTAGGACGTGTTTTTCCCAACCATCCTGTGGTGTTGGGTTCTCGTTTTGAAGAGACGGTCCCCGCCTTCCTCCTCTCCTCCTCCCCCTCCTCCCCCTCCTCCCCGCGTTCCTCCTCCCCCTCCCCTCCCTCCCCCCTCCTCCTGCACCTTGGCATCGCTCGGACGTGTGTTTTTGTCTGCGAGGGCCATCGAGGGGCATCTGGGCCATCGTGGGGAAACGTGGTGAACTCACGAAGCCGAGCAGTGCACGGGGAGTGGACGTCCGAGCGATGGCCAGTCTCGGCGAGCTGCGCCACACGAGCACCATGCTCCTCTCCCCTCCTGATGCTGTCCAGTGCGGGGCCGTCTCTCTCGCGGATAGCCTTTTCACACAGGATGGCGAACCATTGTGCGTGAGATGTGTTTCTTTGATCGGAGCGTTTCCGATTCGTCTTAACAGTTTGCCACGTTTCAGGATCGGCGCGCTCCCTTCGGTCAGAATTGCCCTCTGGCCCCAGAGCGGGTCACGCCTCTGGTTCCGATATCTTCCTTGTCGCTCCCGTCCCCCATCCTCTCCCCCCCTATGCCTTCCCCAGGTCCTCCTCCTCCCCCTCCTGTTTCTTTGCTCCTGCTGCTGCTCCTCCTGCCCATCCGCGTGCTCCTCCGCCACCTTCCCCCCCGACGTGCAGAGAGCCTCCTTCCTGATTGCTCGCGCGACGGGGTCGCTTTCGGGATCAAGGTCTTTCGCGACACAGCTGGCGAACAGACCAGAATCCAGCGCCATGGGAAGGGATGCGTGGGAGCGGCAGGATGTCAGACATGACGCGAGCGCACCTGGCTTCTCCTCCTCCCCCTCCCCCCTCCCCCTCCCCTCATCCGCCCTTCCCCCCTCCCCCCTCGCCCCTCCTCCACGCTGCTCCTCCTCTTCAGCTTGGTGCTAGTCATTGACCTGCACCTTGGCTGGCTCGCTCGCTCCCACTTGCTGGTCTGGCCCACCCGCGCGGCCGCGCGGCTGGGCGCGCGCTGCCTGCCTGTGGCTGGCTGGCAGCCAGCGCCGCGGCACAGCCAACGCCTGCCGCCCGCCCCCGGGGGCTGCCGGTAGCCGCCTGGCGCGGAGCTGCAGCGCAGGGCGCCGCGCGCGCGTTCGGGCCCGCGGCTGCGGAGGGTCCAGCACTGGCGAGGCGTCAGCCTGGCTTGCCTACAGGCCCACCGGAGAGTGTTCAAATCACTTCTTGGGTCCGCACGACACTTTCTGAGAACAGGTCTGGCCGATCTTGTCTTGTGTTGACGCATCGGCTTCCTGATCTAAGAGAGAGCGTGATCCACCGCCGCTTTACTGTTGAAAATTGCCGCCCTTTTCCTCCGGAGCCCAGGGGCCCCCCCGCCCCTCCGCCCCTCCGAAAATCCCTCCCTCCGCCCCCCCCTCCCCTAACCCCTCCCCCCCCCCCTCCCCCGGCAAAGCCCCCCCCTCCCTCTCCCCCCCTCCCCCCCTCCCCCTCGAAAACCGGGGGGGGTCACTGCCGGTTCGAACCCCCCCCCCCCTGGAAAACCGGAGGGGGGGGCCACTACCGGTTCGAACCCCTCCCCCCCGTCTCACCGCCAGCAAACGACTCCCCGTCCCTACCACCGTCCTCACCACATCCCCCACTGTTGTTCCCAGCGCCACTGTCCTCACCACCACTGTCCCCACTGGTTCCACCACCGCCCCTACTGTCCCCACCAGTGCCACCACCACTGTCGCACTGTCCCCACTGTCCCCACCACTGTTCCCACCACGGCTCCACTCTCCCAACTTTCTCCACGACTATCCCCACTGTCCCCACTGTCCCACTGACTCCTCCGCTGTCCCACTGAGCTGTCCCACTGTTCCCACCACTGTCCCCACTGTCCCCACCACTGTCCTCACTGTACCTCTGTCTCATTGTCCCACCGCCGTGCTCGCCACCGCCTTCACCACTGTCCCCACCACCACTGTACCCTCCACTGTCCTACTGTTTCCACCACATTCCCATTATCCCCACACCACTGTCCCCACCACCACCGTCCCCACCACTGTCCCACTGTCCCCACTGTTCCCACCATTGTCCTCACCATTGTCCCCACCACTACCGTCCGCACCACTGTCCCACTGTCCCCACCACTGTCCCGCTGTCCCATCACCACTGTCCCCACCACCACCGTCCCCACCACTGTCCGCAACCCCCCTCGGTTTTCGAGGGGGGGGGAGGGGAAGGGTTCGAACCGGTAGTGACCCCCCCCGGTTTTCGAGTTCGAGGGGGGGGGGGGTTCGAACCAGTAGTGACCCCCCTCCTTTTTCATGATGAACGGGGGGGGGGAGGGGTTCGAACTGGTAGTGACCCCCCCCGGTTTTCCGGAGGGGGGGGGGTTCGAACCGGTAGTGACCCCCCCCCCCCCGGTTTTCCGCCAGTAGCGGTAGAACACGCTCTTTCTGATCTAAGAACATCGTCTTTGTTCTTAGAGCACTTTGGGGTTCTGAGAGCATAACGTGGTAGGCCTATAGGAATGCGGGGGCTGTCGATCCCTGCTCAAGTGGTGGGCATGCGGGGCGCCCCCGCCGCCCTGCCTGCGGGCTCGAGGGCGGCGGTGCGTGGCCTGGGGTGCCGCCGCCGCGCCATGAGAGCGGCAGGATGGCCTGGCGGGAAAGGAGGGAGGGGTGGGGGTGCGCTGTCCTGGGCCCGGGGCTGTTCGCTGCTTGGCGCCGGCCTTTGGCCTCGGGTCTGAGCCACGCGCTGGTCCTGCTGGCCCTGACGAGCTGGGGCCTCTTCCTCGCGCGCCCCGTCCGCCTGGCGCAGCCACCCGCCGGCGAAGCCGTAGGGAAGTCGTGGTCGTCTGCAGCCCCCTTCTGGCTCTCGCTGTGGTGGCGCCGCCCGGCCAGTGGAGGAACAGGTCGTCCCCGGGCCGCCCAGCTGCAGCTGCCCGGCGGGCTGGGGCTGCGGCGAGGAGGCCGCAGGGCCCCCACGCGGAGGGTCGCCACGGGAGGCCCTCGTCGTGCGGGCTGCGGCGGCCTGCCGCTCCGCGGGGGCGCTGCGTCGGCGCGGCGCGGGTCCTCTCGGTTGCCGCCTGCCGACATCCTGCGGCGTCGACATCGTCTCGCCCGACGGAGCCCACGCGAGCGCGGCCGTGTGCCCTGAGCTGTCAGGTCGTGCCTGGACTCCGAGACAGGGTCACTGTTGCGACGCAGCATGTTCATGTCATGCTATGTTGATGTCGTTGGCGCCCGAGGTGGATGTCATGCGTGCGTTCTGGCTTCGGCACTGGGTTCTCGCGCGTGTTTTCTGACATCGGCACTGGGGCCGACAGCCGTCAGTAAAGGTCGCGAGTCCCGTAATCGCCATTTCCTGCGCAGACCCTACCATTGCCAAAACGCAGCGATTGTACCTGATGTCCTCCAGGTCCTTGGAGTTGGCGGCCAGGTAGGGGTGCAGCGCGGCCTTTCGGGGTGGATGCCGCTGCCCCCCGGGGCCATCGTGCCTTCGGAAGTGCCTAGCTTCCGCCCTGTCTTCCTCTCCCAGCGTCGTCCTCGTCCACCTCCTGACCCTTGCCCGAGCCACCTCCCGAACCTGCGAGCTACTTCCATCGTGGCACGTCCAACTCCAATTCCTCCCCCTCCACGTAATTGCCTGCTTCCCCCTCGCCTTGTTCTCTCTCTCTCTCTCTCTCTCTCTCGACGGATCATTCAAAGTGGGTACTGCTCTGCTCTGTCCCCTGGACTGTGCCGTTGTGGCCTCGCCTCTCTCGCGGATGGTGTCCACACGCACATGATTTCAAGTGCGTGTTGTTTTGTTGTTTGTTTGCTGCACGCGTACGTGTTATTGCGATTCGTCATGTTGTTCCAGGTGCAGCGCCAGCCACACGGCAGGATCGGCGTTTTCTTCCGTTGTTCAGAACGGTGTTCTGGCCCCAGCGCGTGCCGCATGTCTGACCCCAATGGCATCTCCCCTGGATCCTGCTCCTCCTGCTCATCGCGCTCCTGATACTGCTCCTGCTCCGTCCTCCTGCCCACTCCTCCTGCTCATCCTCCTGCCCATCTGCCACCTCCACTGCACAGAGCTCACTCATCCGATGCCGCATTGCGCGATGGGG